TATGGAAAACATCCTTTCCTGCAGCTGGAGTTGGAGAACACAGAATCTGGGGCAGGAAGGGCGTGGTGAATGGATAGTAAAGTTACACAGATGCCTAGAAAACAGCCTCCAAAAGAGATATCTTGAGTCAAAGGAAATTCCCAGGGCTAATAAAAATACCAATGGCTACCATTTATTGAACACTTACAATGTGCTAAGTATGATACCAAGTGTGTTACTTATTAAAAAGAAATAATGGCTGCAATTTTATTGAGTACCTATAGGGTGCTAGGCATGTGACAAGTGTATTCCAGGTATTATCTCATTTAATCATTTCAACTGTCCCATGAAGAACCGTTACCATTGTTATGCTCACTTCACCCTTGAGGAAATGGAGCTGAATTAAAACACCCAAAGATTACACAGCCAGAAAGAAGTAGCAGAATCAGAATCTGCATTCAAAGCTGTTTGACCCCAGAAACTATGCTCATCCCTTCAAAGCAAAATAATTCAAAGGCCTCAATGCCCACCTACACCACCATTCACCTGTTCCCCAGGCTTTCTTTCCTCAATTATCCCAGAAGAGTCTATGGATTTTCACTTGTTGTTTATCGACTTTCAAGAAAGACTCAGGCAACACTTCTGAGTCATTTTTCCTAATCTCTCCTCTCCAAACCCCATGCATATACTCCTAGGTGGCACTACTTGTAATGTGTATGCTCCTCCACAAGACTGAGCTCCTCTCTTTCTATTTCAGATTGATTGTGCCCAACACAGTGCCTGGCTCACAAGAGGTACCCCTCCCCGGCCCCAGTGCTCAATGAATAAATGTGGCATCAGGGCCAGAAGAGCCAAGCTGCCACTACTGCAAGCGTCCCTTCCCACTCCCAGTTGGTAGGGGAGAGTGAATGTTATTTACAAAAACACCAAGCCAAACAAGACCCTCCCTTCTCTGACAGGCTGAGGCTGTGCTGAGAACAGCCAGGGGTCACCAAATGGTGGCCAGATGGTAACTGGCTGCTGCTCCCTAACTCCAGGGGCCTGGGGCAAAAGGCTGGGCTGCCCACCTGCTCCCAGGAACCTGTGAATGATTCACTTTGGAGGGGAAAAAAAAACCCCAGACAGTTCTCTCCTCTTGAATCCCCTCTAGCAATAAGCTTTCAGAGTGGAGAATCTGCTGATTCCCAGTTCCTACTGGTCCCAGGGATTCCTGCAGGCTGGACCAAGCAGAGTTCAACCTCACCCAGTATAAATGTATTTTTTTTTTCTTCCATCAGTGCTCTCCTAACAGAGAAGCATCAACTCTGCAGTACTGACCCTGGGAAGTAGGGAGTCCATCCCTGGTGCTCAAGACTCAGAGGAAACAGGACAGCGTGGGGATGGTGTGTGGGGAAAGAGCAAGAGGGATTCCTTCCTTCCTGGAAGAACTCTGAGGACACGAGTCGCTGGAGAAAGGAGAGATTTTTCTGCAGTGTTCTCCAACAATGGGAGCTGACAGGGCTTTGGGGAGAGCTCTGATTCCCTTCCTCTCATTCAGCACCCTTCCCCTCCTCCTACAGACCTGGGAGGCAACAGGCCCCCAACTGGTTATCAGGTCCTGGAGCGTTAGAGCCTTTGTCTCCCCCTCAGACAACTCGCTGGCAGGGCCAGGGGCCTACAAATCCTCCCTGACCCTCCCAGCTCTTTGTTATCTCAGAGGGAAGATTACATTTCTGTGTGTGGAGGCAAGGTGCCAGGAGTCCTCAGAGCAGGACAGAGGCAGGCAGAGCTGCTGTCTGACCCCAGTTGCTTGGAGCAGCTCAGAACTGCCCTGGGACCCTCTCCCTCCACAGGCTGGGGCCTTTTTCAAAGTGGAGGGTCTTCGTTCCAGAAAGAGCAGGGAAGCTGTGGGGAGTGGTACTTACTGAAGGGGGGGAGTGGGCTGCAAGGATAAAAGCAGCCACTTTTTAATTAAATAATTGACTGGGTCTATGGATGGCACCAGGATGGCCCACGTCTTCCCTGGATCTTTCTCTCCATTTCGCTCTCTTGAGCTGTTTCCCTGAGAACAAGTGAAGTGAGAGCTAGCAGGTTGGCCACCCATTTTCTTTCTGATTTCTTGATAAATCTATAAAGGAATTTGTTCAGCAGTGAGTCCCCTCAATGACAAATAAATAAGACATTTAGATCGTTCTCTTTCTGTTTAAATCAAGGATACATTCTTCAACTCCTCTTTGGGATTCAACAGGCTCATTAAACGGTTTTAAATAAAAAAAAAAAAAAAAGGACTGGATTCTCACCCTTGCTGCCCTCTGCCCCTGGTGCTGGGGAATAAACCCAGGCTTCATAAATGTTAAGCGAGTACTCTACCACTGAGCCACATCTGCAGCCCAGGGATTCTAAAACCCTTGTTTAAGAAGAATTATGGAAAGGAAGTTCAAGACACTCCCCTTTAGGAGCAAAGTGGAGAAATACTAGTTGAGTGTTAACACTGCAGTCTGGATGTTTTTTCTTCTCATGGATTGACTTCCCAATCATGTCCCCACAAATTTTATCTCCTTCCCTGGTTACTCAGGTTTGTTACACTTGTTGAGTTCAAAAACAACAGATGTGTATATGGAAAACCTCCTGAGCAGATCAATGGAATCCTTGCCCAAGAATAGTTCAGAGCTAGAGAAAGGCAGAGTGAAAAGAAGCTAGAATGGGCAAAGAGGGAAAAGACAACTACCAAAGCCATGTTAAGTATAAAATCAGTGAATAGGGTTGGGGATGTAGCTCAGTGGAAGAGCACTTGCCTAGCATGCACAAAGCCCGGGGTTCCATCTCCAGTACCCTCACCCCATCCCCCACGCCCAGTAACACACACACACACCACAAACTTAAAATCAATGAATATACCAGAAAGTCAGTAGGGTTTCCATGGACTGGCTGGGCTGAAATTGACAGGGAAGATGTGAGTTTGGAAGCTTCTATGTGAAAATAAACTAGATCTGACTGATGTGGAGTCAGAGGGCTATCCAGCAGAGAGATTTTCTTGTAGAGAGCATAACCCTATAAAAATGTCTGAGTCTCATTTATTACATAAGTGAGTCTTTGTTTTTAATTTATTCATTTATTCAACTAGTATCTATCTATTTATTTATTTATTTTGGTGAGGGTACCAGGGATTGATTTCAGGGGCACTTGACCACTGAGCCACATCCCCAGCCCTATTTTGTATTTTATTTAGCGAACAAGATCTCACTGAGTTTCTTAGCACCTCGCTTTTATGGAGGCTGGCTTTGATCCTCCTGCCTTAGCCTCCTGGGCCGCTGGGATTACAGGCATGCGCCACCACACCCAGCTCAACTAGTATTTATTGAATACTTATTCTTTGGCCAGTCAGTAAACCTCTTGTGTGCATGGTGTGTCATGGGTATTGAACCAAGGTCTTGCACCTACTGAGCACATCCTCTCTACTACTGAGCTACACCTCCTGCTTTCCCCTTCCCCTAGTGCTGGGATTTAACTCCAGGACCTTGCACAACAAACATATCTTGAGTGCTTAGGATGTGATGGCACTATATGGCTTACTGTTCTTTCACCTGCTGATCAAATAGAGAAATGTCTAAGAGATTCTTTTATTAAATTTGGAGTGAGATGCACAATCTCACATTCACGATTCTACTAGTTAGGGTGGGGTGTGGATGAGGGAACAGGCCCTACCATTTACTTAATTTGTGCAACACTTTTGGTGCACCAATATCTACTATTCCATTTGATTCTCTTGACAACCTTGTGAGGGTCTTGTTAGATGCATGACTTGTGCAGAATCAAAGAGTTATTGGGTGGTGGTTCCATTCTGATGGAAGTAGCCTTCCCTGCCTACCAGTGGTCTCCAACCTGACCTCAAATCACAGTCACCATGGAGCCTTGAGGAAAAAATATAGATTCTTGGCTCTTTCCTGGGACATTTTGATTCCTCATGAATGAGCAAGCCCTAGATTTTGTAGTTTTCAAAAGTTCCCCATGGGACTCATACCCATTTGAATTACAGAACCACAATACACTCTGTGTAAGGATCAAGGGGAAAGGGCACTTGAGCCACTTTTCCTGGGGTTCCATGGAACAGAGAGTGCTTCAAGTGGGCTCTGATTAGTTTCCAAACCAACAAGACACACACCCCCTCCCACCACTCACTCTTTGCTTTCTGAACATTCACCGCAGGCTGGAGACTTCTAGAGACCAAGAATGGTACTGTAGAATTTGCAAGGCCCAACTCCTTGGAAAACCTAAATTATGTGACTGGGGAAAGATGAGATCCAAGGAAAGGGTCTGGAGCTCAGGGGTGGGGGTATTGACCTACTCATGAAAAAAAAAAAAAGAAACAGCTTGTATTTATTGAGTGTGAATTATGTGCTAGGCCCTTTTTAACTCCTCCACTCTGTATGAAAAGTACTATTATCCCCCTTTTACAGATGGGGAAGCTGAGATTTGGAGCGAGATCTTTCCCTCAAGGTGCACAGAATCCAAAGCCCACGCTGCCCTGTACAACCTCAGGGCTACAGAGAATCCCCACTCCACCCTCCAATTTGCTAATCTGTCCATGGCCTGAAATTCGGGGAGCCTTCCAGTATTGCCAGATGGAGGGGCAGGAGCGCCAAAGAACCCCAGACTGCTGGGAAGAGAAGCAGAGCTCCTGGCAGTTCAGTTGCTTCCCGGCTTCTCGGGGGCAGCGGCTCCGAAACTACAAGGCCCAGCAGGCAGCTGCAGGGGGAGGAGGAGGAGGTGGGACTAGCGCCGGGTGGGAGTGAGAGAGCGAGCCCTCGCGCCTCGCCGGCGCACAGCGCTCTGAGCGCTCCTGCAGCCACTGGTGCGGCGGCCTCGGCAGTAGGCGGCGGCGAGCAGGAGCCCGAAAGCTGGTCCAGCCGCAGCGCGCCGAGAAACCCGGGCTGTGCCCAGAGCTGGGCGGCAACATCCGGACAGGACTGAGACTGTGGTTAGCGCATTGCGGTGCCTTCGCCTTCCCTGGACGCGAGCGCGCGCCGCAGCTGGAAGAGCAGCGGAGACCGAGGACTTTTCTCCGGTTCGAGGGGCGCCCCGCAGGGCGCACCGTACCAGTGCTGCAGTCGGGCACACCGCGGCGCCGGGGCCCTCTCAGGGCGATGGAGCCGGGTCTGCAAGAAGCGTGAGGCGCCGCCGCTGGGTTCTGGAGAGCGGAGGCACCAGGTCTGGAGACCCCGGGCGGCGGACGGGAGCCCTCCCCCCGCCCCGCCTCCGGGGCACCAGCTTCGGCTCCATTGTTCCCGCCCGGGCTGGAGGCGCCGAGCACCGAGCGCCACCGAGAGTCGAGCGCCGGCCTCGGGATTCTCGCGACCCCGCCAGGACCAGAACGGAGCCCGGGGGCGAGGGGCCGGAGTGGGGAACGCGGGTACACGCCCGCCTGCACAAGCCACGGCGAGCTCTCCCGAGGCGGAACCGCAGCGCCAAGTGAGGTAAGAGCCGCGGCGCCCCCAGATCCGGGGCGGGC